TGACTTGAGGCCAGTCGCTGAATTGCTCTGCTCCCAGCTGTAGAACTTCGATGCGTCTGTTTCGGTTGTAAGCACCTCTGAGCAGGGACTGAATCTTGCTCCATTTGTACAGCACCTAGCGCAGCAGGGCCCTGATCTCACTGGGAGCCTCTAGCTGCTTCCAGAATATAAACAACAGTAGCATGCTGGGAACAGGACTGAGCTGGCAGGGCGAGATCCATTCGGGGCTCCTGCTCTAGGCTCACTCGCTGGGTGATGTTCAGTGCCTCAGAGGTGTCAGGTTTCCAGCAGAGCCACAGTATAGGCACCAATTTGGGTTCGGGGGAGAGACAGTGAACTTGAGGAGGAGATGCCACCCCCCTCCTGAGCCCCTACTCTCCACCTGCACCCTCTGTTCTTCAGGCTGGTCCCTCTTGGTGCTGCAGGAGGTCTCAGGGCATACCAGAGGGTGACTGCATCCCCTCTACCCCGGGCCCACTGTATACACTCCACAGTATTGTTTTCAGAGGAAGTGCTCAGTGTAAATAGAGCATGTGGGAGAGTTTGTCCTGGGCAGAGATGAAAAGTCCCTGTGACAGGCTCGGGTTATAAACGGCTTCCTCGGATTGATGTGAAATCAAAACATTTCTGTTTGGGAGAAGAAAATAAAGGGGGATGTTTACTTAGGCAGGAATCTTTAAACAGTGCAATGGAGACGCAGAGTGCTGTGGGGTGGGGAGTTTGAGGTGGAGGGGAGACTGTGCTCCCAAAATGCACCCAGCCACCCACCCCTTGTGCAGAGGAGACGAGTGAGGATCCCTGGCTCAGCAGCTCAGTTCCGCCCCCTCTGCCTGCATGGGGAAGCACAGTGGGTTGGAGATCACGTAAGGGATCCATCCCTTTAGAGGCCAATGAGCTGGGGAGTGCACTCTCCCCCTGTGGGCCTGGCCCAGTCTGGATAGAGGGGCACAGACGGTGCTCCAGGGGTGGGCTCTTCTTCCAAGACTGCTGAGCGGCAGTTGATGCCCACACATTACAGATAGGGAAACAGAGGCACCAAGAGGCAAAGTGACCTGCACAGGCTCACACAGTGAATTAGCTGCAGAGCTAGCAATAGACCCCAGGAGTCCTGATTTCCAGCCTCCAGTGCTGACCATCAGACCACATTTCCCACCCTCCCCGTCCAGCTGGTAGTGGGTTCCAGAAGTTGTGACTCCCAGTCCTGGGCTCTGACCACAGGATCCCACTGCTGCATGGACTGACTCCATGCATGGGCACAGCGTTTGAAAGAGCCCCCTCCTGGCCCCAGGACCGGGGTCTCTGATAGAGCAGCTGAGGGGAGTCTTGAGATGCTGAGGGCAGTTATAGAGGTTCAGGCCGTACACAAACCTCACGTTCGGAATAACCAGCATTCCTGGGAACCAGGCGAAGGAGAAAAGCCTGTCAGAAAGTGTGAGCAGAGCAGGGCAAAGTGGTTGGGGGAACAGAGGTGGGGGCATTATAAGGGGATTAAGGGGGACTATAATCTGCAGAACAGGTGAGAGGACCCCACAAAGACAGGTGGAGGGGAGAGTAAGAGCCATTGGATGGCGCAGAAGCACCAGATGGGGCAAAGGCTTAGGGGGTGAGATGGAGAGAGGCACTGCCAGGAAGGGAAGACAAGTTGCAGGCTCCCTCGAGCTGCGACATAAGCAGCAAGTGCAGCCTCGGGAACGTCTGTTCTCCTCTTCCTTTGAATAAATATTTATAGATTCATTTGCCTCTGGTGTGTGTACTTGGCTGCTCACCTCCAGGCCAGAATAATGGGACCTGCCTGACTGTAGGAAGGAGAGGAGCAGCAGGGTGGGAAGACTCTCCTTCGTCCTAAACCCTGGTGTTAGGAGCTGCTGATATTCTGCTGTCCCATTATCTCCAGCTGTGAACTTGTCTGATCTCAGTAGCCGAGCAGGGTTAGGCATCATGAGAACTTAGATGGAGGACTGCCAAGCATGGCTAGAGAGATTGATGAGTCATAGCTGACCGAGTGCCCTGCCTGGTGCCAGGGCACCACCGCATGTTGCTGGAGATTCTGCCCTATCCACCGGCAGTTAATGAAGCTCCCCTGGTCCTTTTCCTGAGTGTACAGGTGTGACCTAGGTGTCCTGGCCTGATTCCCATTGGAGTGATTAGTAGTTCCTGCTGCCTCCTTAGATTCCCTCTGCCGTTCCAATTCTCCATGGGATCCTTCTTCGCTTCCTGTCCTAAAGGCATGGTGGATGGAAGTGCACAGGTGTATGTGGTTTAGCATCTTGGCAGTTTTGGCTTATGTTCATTTAGGGATGACCAATGTGTGTGCATGGGTGGAGGGTGGGGGTGTATGTGTGAGCAAGGCTTACCCATGTAAGTGTATGGATCTGGGGGGTGTACATGACGCTGTGTGTGTGTATGCAAACACGCTTGTTCATGTAGAAGGGATATGGCTAGATATATGAATGCATGTGTCTGCATTGGGGATGCACCATTATAAGGGCACAGTGTGTGTAAGGGTGGGGGAGGCTGATACATGTTTGTCGGAGTGTGTGTGTGTGTGTATTTTTCTTACAACCCTTGACAGGTGAGTGTGTCTGAAGCTGTCAGGTGTTTATGCTAAGCAGCCGCTCTCTGGCTCTTGGACAGAGTCTAAAGTTTCAATCTGTTTGTATTGGGCTGTCATGTTATGGGATTAGGGGCCTTCACAGTGGCTTCTGGGTTCATCGTAGGGGGTCTGATTAACATCAGTGCACTTCTGTGTAGCAGGATCTTTGGGGCTGGCCATCGGAGATATTGAGGGAGCCTTTGTATGGAAAACACCAGTCCTCTATGATGAGGAGGAGACGACTCCCCTCTGACGGGCATGCAGTCAAAGGACACGTTTTCCAGGAAGGGCCTGAAACTGCACCCACATCTGTTGGTTAATGTGGGCACCTAACCATTTCCACAGAGCCCCACGTGGCGTAGGAGAGCACTGAAAGTTCTAGTGAGAGCGCTGCTGTGCTTTCTGGCCTCCAGAGCCCAAGGCAGAGGTCAGGCGAGTCTTTGTGACCCAAGGACGCGGGGCAAGGATGAAGAGTGTTCATGCTGACCTTTGCAGGGCTAGTTGTTACTAGAGAAGGAGGAGGAGCAGAGCAGAGAGAATAAGCAGGATGAGAGAGTGTGTGTGGATAGGGAAACTATAGGGGGAAGATAAAGACCACAGTAGAAGGGGCTGGGAGTGGGAGTAAGGTGCAGCAAGCACAGCGAGGGTACGTCTACACTGCGGGACAAGGTCGAGTTAAGATACACAAGTTCATCTACGGTCATTGCGTAGCTGACATTGAAGTACCTTCACTCGGCTTTTGGTGCCGTCTACCGTGCAGGAAGTCGAAGGGAGAGCTCCTTTGTAAAATGATGGTTACAGGAGTTGGAGTAAGAAGCCCCTTATTTCGAAATTATTGTGAAATAGCGGGCTTGCTGTGTGGATGCGCACGCTGTTATTTCAAAATCACGCTGCTCTGTAGGCATGCCCCTAGAGAACAAGAGAGTGGCAAGAGCACTGCAAGCACGCTGAGTGGGCACAAGGTGTGACGAGGTAGCAGCTGGGGTGCAGAGTGTGAGGGCGTGTGTGTCACTGATTTTGAGGACAAGCGTGGGACCTTGTCCTCACTGAAATGTACACGCAGGGGCAGAGCAAAGGCTGCACACCCCTTTCTGCTTTCAGAGTTTTTTCTCTTTCTTAGCCTAGACACTCTTAAAGGCCGTCTAGAAAACAACAGCTGCCCAGCCATAGTGTTCTCTTAGTGCAGCTTGCTGCTTTTAATTGGGATTAAATCTTGTTAATAGTTAACAATTATACAGGTGACTTTGCTAAGGACTGATCAGTTCAAGACATGCCCTCACCTTGAAGTTAAGGTCCTTAACAAATGTGCACCTGAAGCTAAGGTCCTTCCTTCCTTCCTTGCTCTCTGTTTCCACACACACCTCTTTAATAGCTGTTGCATCTAAATAAACTACATTAAAATGACAAACCCCGACTAAGACTGTGCAGAGAATTTCCTGTGTGTGTGAGACAGAAAAAGTGTTTTACTGACTGACACCCCAGTATGTTTCCCCCTCCTTTCCTCTCCCATCTGACTCTCCTGCCTTAGGATTCAAGTAAATTGCGCTGAAGCCAAAAGGAGGTTGCTTGTATTCCCTGGGGTTAGAATTGGGAGCCCCATCTTTCCAAAAGACACCATTGATATAACTCTTTTGGCTTCACTCCCTGAGTTCTGATAGGCGCCACCTTGGCTGATGCACTGGGACTGAACTGGGGACCTCCAGAGCTAAAACCCTGAGTTGCTACAGCTTAAATGAAAGCATCAAGGCTCCCTAGGTAGGGCTCAGTGTTCCCTGGAAGCTGTGCACTTCTACAGACATTCAGGAGAGATTCAGATGCAGTCCAGCTTGTTAGCAAAGCACCCACAGCTAGAAGTTTTGTTTCTATTGGTAGTGCACATTCACACATGCCTCAGTGCACATAAAATTATTCTGCACACACATGGAAAAGATTAGAGGGAACTTTGGTAGGGCTGCATCTTACTCGTGTCCTCTGTAGCGCAGGTGCACAGAGGGATCTGTTACATGCACTCATCAGTGGTTTACACAGTTATACCAGAGGGGAATTTTGCCTGGGACATTCCGAGATCCATTCAGCCAGGTTCAGTCCTGGTGTAAGTAGCTGCACCTTCACTGAAGATAGTGTCTTTACGCTCACTTACATCAGGAATGAATTCAGCCTGATGTGTTTTAACAGAGGCATCTTTCCGTGGTGTTGCTGACAGACTGTGGGTGAACTCCACAATATGCTCCCTGAGCCCCAGCTCCTCCAAGGCAGTTCCTGGCAGTTCCTTTCAGAGGGTAACACTGGCTGACTGTGTTTTAAGGTCATCTGGCTGGGGTCAAATGTTTGCAGACAGGGTTTGAGTTTCAGAATGGCAGAGCATTTCCCTCTCATGCTGTTTATTTCTCCCTCTGTCTCTTTCCAGCTGAAAGAACTATATGCACTGACGCAACCTCAGGAAAATCCAAGATGGCTGCCAAGCGCAAAGGCGGCCTGAAGCTAAATGCGATCTGTGCCAAGCTCAGCCGCCAGGTGGTCTTTGATCATGGGGGATCTGAACAGGTGCGGTTGGACAAGGTTCCCCAGAGGGAAAGCGGCACCAAGGAACCGCCTCAGCCTGAGACCAAGAAGTTGGGGGCCGAGTTTTCTGATGGACTTAACCGCATCCAAAAGATAGAGGAGGACAAGCGGAGGGAGGTGATTGAGAAGTGGGTAAATGGGGAGTACAATGATGAGACCCTGCTGGGCCGAGCAGAGGGCAAGGAACGTAAGGCCAATGACAGTGTGGAAGTGCCCCCCGAAGGGGTTTACATGGTACAGCCCAAGGGCTGCAGTGATGAGGAAGATAATGGGAATGAGGCGGATGGCAGCTTCCTGGACGACAGGGATTCGGATGGGCCTGCGTCCAAAGATGAAACTTACCGACCCTCCAGTGGACCTACCGGCTCCAAGCTGGCTGGAGGAGCTGCCTCAGGTAAGTCATTGCCCCATCTACCACCCTGCACAATGGAGGCCCTAGGCCAGTATTTTAGACAGGGTAATGTGAATCACCTCAGTTGCCCTACATCCACTGGCTAAACTTGGCCACCAGATCACAGGAATGAGCCTCACTTTCAGGAGCCCCTAATCTCTCCATTGCAGTGGGCGGGCTGTTCTGTGCTTTGTAGCAGGGAGCAGCCCTTGAAGTCCCACTGCTCTGGAACCCGCATCCAGGAAATGGTGAGGATTCTTTCACCTGGGTTGATCCCAAATCCCATCACCAGAGTCCTTCAACAAGGGGCTCCCAGGTCCTATCCCTGGATTCCTTTATCTGAGTGGATCCGAGAGCCTGCCCCCCAATTCCTTTATCTGGTGGGATCCACCCCACAGATCCCTGAAGATAATTTAGATGAAGATAAAGACATTTGGCACTAAGGTACATATTCAAGTTTTCCAGTAGAGAGCAAGACTCAGGCTGCCTTCTTTACAGACACACTTGCCTGCACACTCCCCATTCTGTGGCAGGCACGTTTGTGTAAGCACACAAGTGTTCGCACCCACCCACACGCGGCATCTTTCACAATGGTAATTAATTCCAAAAGCAGAGTCTAATTACGGGAGATGAGAGCTGGGAAGAAGCTGGCATTTTTTTTGGAATTGGATATTGCCCGTCCTGCCCCAGCTGGGTACAGAGTTCCCCGGGAGCACAACTTGTTGGCACTCTCTAATGTAACACTGTGGTTAAGCTGAGAGGGCGATGTGTGTCGAGGGAGGATAGCTGATTAGGGAACAGTGCTGCCAGGTCCGCCTGAACCCCTGAAAGAGGAGGGTGGCCACATGTGGCACTGTGTCCATGTTGGTGAGGCAATAAAAGGAGAGCATGGGGAAGGGCTTGATCTGCCTCCTTGATTGGATTCGGTGCCTAGTTAGTTGAGCCTAAGGAAGTGGCATGAGAGCACAGAGATGTCTAGGAAATTTGGGGTTGGGGTTATTGTGGGGTGGGAAAGGAAGCAGAAGAGGTGGGGGAGCCTACCTTGGGGAAAAGTGAGTGAAGCAGGAGGAGGAAGAGGACATTGAATGAGGAAGACTCATCTGTGTAGAAGGGAATTTGCTAATTAAAATAGGATGAGCAGGAGAGAAGAATTGGACATGAATATCGATGACCAGAAGAGTGTGTGTGTGTACACATACAGGCCCTCATCCCAGTCTCTGTCTATTTCTATATTTGTGTTAACACATCTAGTTATGTGACTGCTGCCTTCACAATATTTGTGTCTCTTGCAGGTATGCTTGTGTGCATCTACAGATTTGTTGCATGTGTTCACATTTGTGTGTGTGTATGTTTGTGTGTGAATACTGCACATTGATATGTATGTGCATGTAGTTGCATGTGTCCTCACAAGTGCTTGGGTGCTGTGTGTGTTTGTTTATGCCTTTGGGTATGTCTAGACTACGTGCCTCTGCCAACAGAAGCATGTAAAATAGGCTACCCGACGTAATCAATGAAGTGGGGATTTAAATATCCCTGGCTTCGTTAAAATAAAAATGGCTGCCGCGCTGTGCCAGCACAGCTGATACGACAGGGGAAGCCTTTGTCGACTGCTCCCTTATGCCTCATGGAATGAGATTTACAGGAGCGGTCGACAAAGGCTTCCCCTGTTGACCGATCCGCGTCTTGACTCGCGTGTTGTGCCGACGATCAGCTGAGCCGGCACAGAGCGGCAGCCATTTTTATTTTAATGAAGCCGAGGATATTTAAATCCCCACTTCATTGACTACGTCAGGTAGCCTATTTTACATGCCTCTGTCGGCAGAGGCATGTAGTCTAGACATACCCTTTGTGTGCAGGTGGAAAGCAGCAGCTCTGTGTATAACTCGCAGGCTATCATTATTTGTTTGCAAGCCTTTAAAAGTGCCTAAGCTAATGGAGGAGCTGTGGTGTGGGCAGATTTAGCTGGTAGATTGGGAGTGTAAGAGAGGGTTCTCTCTGCCCTTTCTTCCAGAGGATCAGCACTGCTACTGGCCCACTGGCAAACAACACCTCCATCTGGGACACCACAATCCTCCAGTGCTTATTTCTGTGAAGAAACTAGATTTCTCCTGCCAGCACAAACGCCTTAGAATCCTTTCTGTCTGTCTTTTTCGTATGTGCATTTTCCTTTCCTCCTTCCTTCATTTGCTCCTCTGATTGATGGATTTATTACAGCCAATGTCCCTCTATTGATATTAAACCCAGCCTCATAACAGACGCATGGGATTCTGGACAGGTTCTTTCCTCACTTCCAAGGTTATCCTGGCCAGACAGATCGAGGGGAGTCCGGGGCGATGCTGTCTCACTCCAGATCTTTGTAAGGTGTCATGTGAACTCTGTCTTTCTCTTTACGCCCTGTTAGGATGACCATATAGCAAGTGTGAAAAACTGGGGTGGGGGTGGAGGAGAATAGGCACCTGTATAAAACAAAGCCCCAAATATTGGGACTATCCCTATAAAATCAGGACATCTGGTCACCCTTGGTGCAGTCAGAGAAACACACTAATGACTCAGAGAGTTGAATTCCCAAGCCCTCAGCTTTCCTAACTCCCCAGCACACCCATGCCTGAATTCTGATTGGTACATTACCCCTTCCAGAGGGCATGTCCCCACCATGCTTTACATGCAGTCCTAACATTTTAGTTCAGTCCTGGCATAAAGAAATTCAGGCTCAGATTTGACTCAGGATGAATTTTTTAGCAAGAGGCGCCAGTGGCCTGTATGTGTGTGTTGGGGAGATGCCCAGGATGAATTCTTCTTTCATTCCCAGACTGACCAGTCTCTCTGGATCAACATCTGGGGCCATTTAAGTACCCAAGTGAGGATGGAAGCTCTGGACTGACCAAAGTACCTCTGTGCCAGTGTAGAGTGGGCCACTCCTGCTGAGATCTAGATCTGTTACCCACTTGTGTTGAATCTCTTGCTAGAAAGATCGCACCTCACATACACCCCTGCCCATCTGTCTGAGCACTTTACAAATCCATCAAACTTTCCCTCTTTTGTGTGTGTGCATGTTTTCCTCCTCCTGCTAATAATGCAGCTGAAGCTCATCTCCGTCTGTCCGTTCCCCTTCCCTGAGAGGCACATTCTCTAGTCTTTGCGAGTTCAGTGGCAGCGCACATAATTATGCATATAAGATATAAACAGAGCTGTTTAATTATCCTTCGCCACATCAGTGACAGAGTAATTAACAAACATTGCAAGATCAATGAGGAAAAGTGTGACCTTCAGTTTCCTTTGATAGGAAAGCCCTTGTCGTTCCCAGACACAAGGTGATTGCGCCTGGACTCGGTTTGTAGTTTGGTTTAATTCCCCCCCTTCCCCCCACTATTTGCAGCTCAGATTTGCAAAAAAGCCAAAGGGGGTGGGGGAAAGGGCGAATAGAGAAGTCTATGACCAACTGATGGGAAATAGAAAGGAGCCAACAGCTCCTCTTTATGGCAAGAGGAGAGAGGGTTCCCAGCAGGATGCCTATTTAGGGCCAGAGCATCAATGGATCACACACATGCCGTTACCGTGAGCTAGCGGGCCATAAGTGTGCAAGGTAATAGCACATACAGTGCCCAAATGGCAGGCACAGGCTTGGGGGTTGGACACACAGATGCGCAGGCAGGTTTCATGCACGTGTTTTGAGAGTCCTGTGGGAAATGTGCCCCTAACATCTCTCTGTAAAGCATGGGCTGAGGGTTTCTTTCTTTGGGAAGGACTGAGTTCTCCTCGTTCTCTCTCTGTATTAAGCCAACCCACTTGTGAATTCTCGGCTTCTCCACACTGGTATTCAGACCTGGTGTAATGGGTTGCAATTCCCATTGACTTAAATGGGGCTGCCGTTGTTGGCACCAAGGAGAAATTTGGCCCCAGGGCTTGAAAAAGAGGCCACATAAGTTAAGAATGGGAGACAGGACTGTACTTATCAGGACACTCACCCAAGTGATCCTGCATCTCTGACACCGTCTCCAGGGGATTTTTTCCTGATGCCCAGAACCCCAAGCCCTGTCAGAATGGATTGTGAGTGGAGGATGCAGGCAGCTTGCTGAGGACTGGCCTGAGCATCAGCATTTAGGGCCCGTTTTTCAAGCCCCCTTACTCAGAAGGAAGATTGGATTCAGTCACGGTGATGCAATGAACAGAGTGCAGTCCCTGTGGAGGGACAGTCTTGTTCTCCGCCTGGTTCCCTCCTCAGACATAGGGGACTGACAAGAGCTGGTCTGAACATGAGTCAGCTCCCAGCCTCACCTTGCGTGTCTCCCCTCTTGAACAGACAGAGAGCACATGCCAAATCTGCAAAGCAGGTGTTTGTCTGGAGACGGGTGACAGACTGTCACCGACACACAAACATGTTCATTCCGTTCTCACAGATCCACAGCCCTTACACCCAAACCGATGCATGCGTCCCTGCACAGACTTGTATACACACCCATTCAGATTTCCTACATGGTCATACAGACACTGGTCTTACAGTACATCCCCCACACGCACACACGTAGGGTGATTGAGATAGTCACCCAGAACTTTTTCTTCAGAGTGTTCAAAGTTTCTTTCATTTATCGATTGATTGATTTGTTTGGTTTATTTACTAAGCCCACTCCATCCATCCAAAGGTGTACGTCTCTTCTTTTTCTCCCCATTCCCTCCCATGAAGGGGTTTTCTCCCCTCTTATAATTTCCTAGGGAATCTCCTGCACAAAGAAGTACAGGCAGTCCCCGAGTTACGCGGATCCGACTTATGTCAGATCCGCAGTTACGAACGGGGCTTTTCTCACCCCGGAGGACGGGAGCGGCGGGACGCCCAGATGCGCCGCCCCCGTCCTCTGGGGCGAGAAAAGCTGCTCCCCGTCTCCCTGGTCTGCAGGGAGACGGGGAGCAAAGCCTTGGAGCACGCCC